AAAGGAATTGTTCCACCTCCAAGAAAACTGAGTGAGGCCTGCCCTCCCCAAGGACCAGGTAGGGAAACGACCATCTGCCCTCGTTATCTTTGATGTGTGTGTGGCTCATGATGCGTTTTTTTCAGATCGCTGCCATTTCTCTTCGGGCTTTTCCTGTTGAGGTTTTGGGGGTGGGGGTCCACCCAAAAGGGTTAGGTCATGTCCGACGTCAATCAGCATTTGGGACAGGGACAAAAATCCTCACCTTGAGAATATTCTCAGATTCAACTCTACCCCCTGACTCCCATCCCTCCTCTTCTAGCCAATCATGCAGACATTGAGTTTCCAGTGTTTTCCCCTGAAGGAGGATGACCTGGACTGGGAACCTCTCCAGGAGGAAAGGAAAGTTCCCATCCCTGTCTGGCCTCAGGGCCAAGCACCGACAACTTCCCCAGCTCTGAGAGGGATGCTTTCTTAGGGAGGCTCCCAGTGTTATGCATCCAAATGAGCCTCAGGCTCTTTACTCTTCCATGAGTTGAGATGCTGTTTCCTGGGTCCAGTGCCTTGTTGCTAGAACCTCAGAGGGGACGTGGGAAGGAAAGGAAGCAAAGCAAAACTTCCCTGCCCTGCATGAGTAAATATTTTACTGAGCAAATACTATGTGCCAAGTACTATACTACATGCAAAGTCGAGCTAATCTGACACAGCCCCTGCCCTCTGGGAGCTTATAGCCTAGCCAGAGAAACTGATATCTGGCAAGTAAATCAAATAAAAACATTTAAAACTAAGTAACAAACTGTGATAAGGGCTATAAAGGAAGCAGAGTACTTTGATGGAGAAAAGAGAGCAGGACCTTCCTAGATTATGCAGTTAGAGAAGATATGTCTGAGAAGGTGATCTTCGAGTTCAGACCTAGAGGATAAGCCATACACTAAACGGCACTAATTTGGGCACACACCAAGTTTAAGAAGGGGTGGGCTATACTGACAGAAAAAAAAGCATGTGGAAAAGCACAGTGGGGGTGGATGGAGAAATGTGAAGATGAGTCAAACCTGATAAAACTTCTCCACAATTGGAGAAAGTCACCAGGAAGAAGCAGGTAAGGTCTCACCAGGTAAGAGGGCCTTGGACATCATGGGAAGAAGTCTAGGCTGGGAGTTCCCTGGCGGTCCAGTGGTTAGGACTGAGTGCTTTCGCTGCCAAGGGCCCAGGCTCGATCCTGGCTGGGGAACTAAGATCCCACGAGCTGCGTGGCCCAGCCAAAAACAAAAATGAAGAGGAAGCCTGGGCTTCATTTTAAGTACAATGGAAAGATCTGGAGGGTTTTACATAGGACAGGGACAATCACATCAGTGACATGTGTATCTTTCCCATGAGTTGGGCGGAAGCCCAACTCCATCTCAAGGATGAGATGCGTTAGGATGAGAGCTCTTGGTGATGCAACATGGGATGATGGCAGGAGAGAGGTCAAATGTATGTTGAGGTAGAATCCACAGCAGCATTGGCTGCTGACAAGGTTGTGGAGAGGGGTGTTGAGGGCAAAGGTGGGCGCCAAAGGCTCCAGATGGCCCCCAGGTTTTAGAATTGGCCCACTGAGTGTACGATGGAACACTGACTATGATGGGGAAGACTCAGGACGAATGGGGCTTTTGAAAATTCATTGGGGAATTCCCTGACGGTCCAGTGTTAGGAAGACTCAGCGCTTTCACTGTGGTGGCCTGGGTTTAATCCCTGATAGGGGAACTAAGATCCCATAAGCCGCACCATGCGGCAAAAAAAAAAAAAAAAAAAAATTCATGGGACATTAACAGGGGAAGAATCCAGAACTGAATTTAAAGCATCACGAGTTTGAGATGTCTTTTGAGATACAACTGGAAGCATCACATGGGCAACTGGAGCTGTGAGTCTGAAGCAGGAGAGCCAAGTCAAGAGGTAAGTGTGGGAGAGTCCCAGACCGAGAACGTGAAGCCTTGAGACGGAACAAGGCCCACCTAAGGACAGCGTGTAGAAGACTAGAGCATCCGGGAGGGAATCCTAAGGAGGACCAGGCAATAGCAGCGAGAAAGAGGTGAATACTCAATTATTTAATTAAAACAAAACACGGGGCTTTAGTGAAATTGTCCTATATGCCACTGTAATGGTGGATACATGACATTACATTTATTTGCCCAAATCAACAGAGCTATCCAACACACAAAGTGAACCCTAATATAAGCTATAGACTTCAGTTAATAATAATATATCAATATTCACTCATCAATTATAACAAATATGCCACACACATGCAAGATGGTAATGATAAGAGAAACTGGGGGGCAGGGAGTGAAGAGGAGGTTTCTGGGAGCTCTCAGTACTCTCGGCTCAGTTTTTCTACAAATCTAAAACTGCTCTAGATACAAATGAACTTATTTACCAAACAGAAATAGACTCACAAACATAGAAAACAAACTTACGGTTACCAAAGGGGAAAGGGGGGATGGGGGCGATACATTAGGAGTCTGGGGTTAACATACACACACTACTATTTATAAAATAGGTAAACAACAAGAACCTACTGTATAGCACAGGGAACTATACTCAATACTTGTAATAACCTATAATGGAAAAGACTGAAGAAATATATATATGTATAACTGAAACACTTTGCTGTACCCTTGAAACTAACACAGCATTGTAAATTAATTATACTTCAATTAAAAGAAGAGGTCACTGATAAAAAAAATAAACCTGGATTTATTTATGGAAAAAAATAAAACTGCTCTAAAAAATAGTTTATTAATTTAAAAAGAAGAAACCATGGGCTTTCAGATCTGGCAAACAGAAAACAATCAAAAAAAGTGTGAGAGGCTTTCCTGGAAAGAGAAAAGAGCTTAAAACAGTATAGATTTATTCTGAAGAAAAAAGACCATGTTCTTATAAGCCTAGTTTGAACACAGCACAGATCAAAGATCTAAGAGGAATCATTGGCTTTCCACCACTGTTCTATAACTTGCAGTCTCAGAGTAAAGGATCTGAGAAGCTGGCAGAAAGCTTTTTGGATCAATCACAAGATAACTGTAAAACATTGATCCTTTTCCCTTTTCAAATCAAAGCACATGTTTCCCAGATCAAAAGAGTGAATCAGAACTAGATTTTAAATTCTACTCCCACCCTTGGGACCTGAGTGACACTAAACAAATCCACTTAATTTTTCTGAGGCTGTTTCAATCATCTATAAAATGGAGAGAATGCAAAAAAGAGTAGGTATATGTATAACTGATTCACTTTGCTGTACAGGAGAAACTAACACAGCATTGTAAATCAACTATACACCAATAAAATTTTTTTTTTAAATAGAGAGAATGTGTATCCCATGGGCTTGCTGTAAAGACCAGAAATATCTGCCATTACCATACTATTATAATTTATGGTAAGGATATTCAGATATTATTGCTATTATCATCATCACTATTATTATTAACCACTGGACATTGTGCTAAGTGCTTATAGTCACTGTCTCGTTTAATCGTTCCAACAGCCCTGTAAAGTTAGTAGCCCTAGTCCCATTATTAAGATGAGTAAAGACTCAGAGAGGTTCAGTGACTTGCCCAAGATCCCACAGCTTCTAAACAGATGAAAGAAGGATGTGAACCTAGCTCAGCTTGTTTCTACAACGCTCTCAAATGCCTACACGTAGATTGCCCACGTCGGTACAAGGAGTTTACATTACAAGTAAAATCTTCATTTTTTATTTCACACTTACATCTCTACATTATGTTAGACTTTCCTACATCAGTGGTCTTCCTTTGATGTCAGTACACAGGTAGTCTACAAAGTGGCTTTAGCAGGAAGGAAATGAAGATGGATTAGACTCATTTTCCTCACTAAAGTTCAGAAGGAATCAATCGCCCCTTGATTCTTCCTGTATTGTCTCAAAAAAAAAAAGATAAAATGGATTTGGTCCTTCAGACCTTCCAAAATCGGCAAACCCTGGCCTCCATCTGCACCTGGTCACCCAACAGTGATATGAACGGAGTCAGCGCGGAGGCCTTTCCCAGGGTCTAACTCACTTCATCTTGGTCGCACCCATGGAGGTCCCTTGCTTGTGTCACAAAAAGCCTGCCTGGTTCTCAGTACTTTTCCTTAAAGCCCACTGTTCGGGTAAGAATAATTATACCAAGTCTTTCATTATATTTCTCCGTTATTTCTGTACTTCCTTTGAAAGTGTTTTTTAGGTGTTTGGAAAAATTTCAAAGAAAAAAGTGTTGGTTGGTGGAGATATGCAAGATAACAATAGTTTATATGTTACTTTAATTCTTAAGGAAAAAATTCACCGTCTTTCTTTTCTTTTCTTTCTAAGGTGTGTTTTCCCAAGAATCTAGTTCTTGGTGAATCTACAAAATCCTAACAGAAGGCCTTATACTTGATCATGGACTGTCCCCTTCAACCGCCTTCATTACTCCCTGCGAGCAAACCCTTCCCAAGTTCCACATGAACTGTGCAGTCACGTGAGTGTGAACAGACACAGGTGGTGCTCTGGCATCACACACACACGCACGCACACAATAACTTTCCTAGATTTGTGTGTGTGTGTCATTGAATACATTTCCCAGAACATTATGAGAACTTCAGACCGCCAAACCAAAGACTTAAATATTGGGGTCTTCACAGACAGACCCCATGCTTCCTGGACTTTAAATTTTAAAAAAAGAAAGAAAGAAAAGAAAAAAAGACAAAAACGAAACGCTTAGTCCCTTAATAAACTCTGATATGCTCTGAAAAGGCAAGTCAAGTAGGAAAAATTTTCCTAGGAGGAAAATTTTTTTTAAAGCCTAAAGAAGACACGAGAACAGGGGCCACTTTATGCTGCAGCCAGCAGAGGCATTCCAACATTCCGTCAGCAGGATTCCAGCCAACCTGCACAGTGTGCTTTTATAAAGGTGGCCCCAGGCATTTCAGGGCAAGATGTGGCTGTGAAGTCTACCTGCCCCCTCATACTTTAGAGGAGCTGGCACAGTGGCTGTCAGACTTGCCTGAGAGCCATGGCAAAGAATGGACTTGTAATTTACATCCTGGTTATCACCTTACTCCTGGACCAGACCACCAGCCACACGTCCAAGTTCAAAACCAGGAAGCACAGCAAACGCCGAGTGAAAGGTAACGGGGTTTCTCCGTCCCGCAAAACTCTAGGCTAGCTCAGGGCAGGGAGGAGCTGGACAATGCTCATTTCACGATTCTTCAAGGACACCAGCTCCGGTGACCGTACCGTGGCTTCAGGTGCATATGGCATTTTCAGGGGACTGAGTGACCTCTTAATTTTCTGGGACATTTTGATATTTAAAAGAATCAAGTGGTAGGCTGTATTGTATATCTGTATTGTATTCTGTACTGTATATCCTTTGTCAGGTGAGCTTAGGCATGAGAATGTTCTTTCGAGGGTGATAACCTGGATACAACATCAGGTATTTGGAATGAGGGATCAAGTAGAAGAGACTGATTAACAGGGTATATACCATTTCACTCGTAGATATCGTATGATGTTCACATATACCTGCAAGATAACTATAATCTTATTAAATGTGCACTAGAGGATAAAGCTATTGGTCATGTGACTTCCGTTTCATCATTAGTTATCATGTAGGTATATTTTCATATCCCTGGCAATATAAGGACGGTCTATACTATAATATATTTTTAAGATTTTAACGTCATAGAGAAGTTGAAACTCTTTCACTTAAAAATATTTCAACAAACCACGTCATGTAGCATTTGAAGACATTTTAATGCAAAACAATCTCCAAGCAAACCCAAATTTGGGGTGGCTTGAATTGGGCTAAGAGATTAAAAAAAAAAAATCCTGCAAGGAACAACGATGATGGCAATGTATTTGCAATATGCTAAAACCAAATCAAAAGGAAAAGCATCAAGAAAAGTGTGGGGTGATGTTTTATCTCATCTTGAGTCATTTTCGTATCAGGATATTTCAAGGTAAATATTAGGGCACTATTTCCTTATCAATTTCACTTCATTAGTAACAAAACACACCAAAGATACAAATAACATTAAAGTCTTGATTTAACACAACACGAATGGCTGGTGGGTAAAAGGGAGCTTATCCTGCACCGTGTTTTTAAGATTACACAGTGCCCTTTTCCAGGAATATTTATTTATACACTTTAGGTCTGATGCAAAGTTTAAGTGGAATCTTTTTTCCTTATTAAATATTACACTTCTCTGTTATTCCTTTTAATCATAGATTAAAATATTTCTCATGACTGATGAAGACAGGAAAAGGAGGGAGAGAAGATGTGGCATACTTTTGTTGCCAGCATTTGTTTACCATAAAGAAGGACTTAGCAAAGTGGTGACCACCCAGTAAGAATGCAGGGAGGTGTTTGAATATGTGAGTGTGTATGTATGTGCTGTGTGGGTGTTTCTCAGTTGTAGTTCAGGTTATTATGCCCTACCCTCCAAGACACACACACAAGCATGCACACATGCTTTTGTTTGTTTTTTAACAGACTGGGTCCACATTTTAAATATCATCCTCCCAAAGCAGTTTTGCTCATTTTTGCCATGAGATCCGAGAAAGTAGATTCTACAGTAAGTGAAACCATTAGCCTAAACTTGCTAAACGTTTCTTTCCCCCATACATTTAAAAAATATTTTAAGTACCTGGAAAGTATACCAAAGTTTATGAAGTCAAAAGCGAAAGCCATTTTTTCTCTCTCGATCCTTTCCACAGAATTACCCCCTATTAACTGTTAGGAGATAGCATCCCCAGAGTTTTCTTTAACAGCCGATTAAAAATTGATACTTTTAACAAAATAAGAGTTGGCTATCCAAAGTACTTGGCAGACAAATTAATTGACTTTATCTATTAAATCTTGGATAACCTTAAATATAAGGCATACCTCAGCCCTTTTAACAGCTGCATAATATCCCCTTGTGGATGGGTCATGACTTATTTAATCTGTTGTCTCTTGGTGAACTTTTGTGTTCATCAAATCCATCCCTTTATGATCCAATGCCTCAGTGAACTGCTTTGTAAACAGATATTGATCCCCATGCTAGAATATTGTGATGATACACTTCTAGAAATAAAATTGTAGGTTAATTACACTGTCTCTCAAAATGGTAGCATGAACCCACGCTCTCATCTTCAGCATATAAGAGCACCCATTCACACCTTGACAACCTGACATCCTATCATCAGGTTAAGCTGTGCCAGCCTAACAAAACCCAAAAACCTTCTTTTAATTTGCATCTCTTTGATGGTTAACAAAGTTGAGGTATTTTTCATACGTTTACTGGTCATTTATTCCAGGAATTATTTCTGCATTCCTACACTGTACCTGCTTTTGGAGAACAATAATAAAATGAAAGGGAGCCTTTTTTTTTTTTTTTTTTTTTGCTCTTGGATGCATTTTTAATGCATTCATCTCCTGTGGAAAGAGCACTTTTAAAGCATTTGTCTTGTCTTAATGGCCAAAACACTTTGTCCATATGTTAGCATTTGCCCTATTTCGTCTTTTCAGAAGTGGTGGGGGGGCCAAGATATAGCTCATTCATTTGTGCATGTGTGTGCACATGTGCACGTGCATGTGTGTGTATGAAAGAGAGAATAAGCATCTAAGGTCATGGATTTCTGTCTGATTTCCTCACTGCTATTCCCAGTGCCTAAAATAGTGGCTAGTACATTAAAGTTGCTTCACAGGCAGGTGTTGAGTGAGTGATTATTTGTGCATGTTAAGGAGTATCAATGTGATCATTATAAGAATATCTCTTTCCCAGTCTTCCCAGAAACCACTTTGATATTGGTCTTCATGAATGACTTTTCAAATATTAAATCCCCATGAATGGGTTAGGGAAGCCATTTGTGACATTGTCAATTTTATCATCAATTGGGATGCTGGCTGCAAGGAACAAACACCTAACTGGCCCTTCAAAAATAATTCAGTGTGGGCTTCCCTGGTGGCGCAGTGCTTGAGAGTCCGCCTGCCGATGCAGGAGACGCGGGTTCGTGCCCCATTTCGGGAAGATCCCACATGCCGCGGAGCGGCTGGGCCCGTGAGCCATGGCCACTGAGCCTGCGCGTCCGGAGCCTGTGCTCCGCAAATGGGAGAGGCCACAACAGTGAGAGGCCCGCATAACGCAAGGAAAAAAAAAATAATAATAATAATAATAATTCAGTGTGTTCTGTTGAATAACAAGTGAAGGCTCTGGGCCAGGCAGGTTCCGTTCTTTTCTCTGCTCTGCCATCCCCAGATAGCAGCAAAGTGGCTGTAGCCATTCCACACATAATGTCCAGACATGGCAGCATCTGAAGGCAGAAAGATGGGGAGTCTTCGGTTCCTCTTTAAGGACAACTTTGGGAATTCCCTGGTGGTCCAGTGGTTGGGACTCGGTGCTTTCACTGCTGAGGGCCTGGGTTCGATCCCTGGTCGAGGAACTCGGATCCCACGGGCTGTGCAGTGCGGCCAAAAAAAAAAAGGAAACTTTTCCTCTAAGCCCCCATCTAAGTAGCAAGAAATGGGTCATGTGCCCTGTCTAAACTCACCACTGGCAAGGGGAATGGGACCACCGTGATTGGCTTGGGCCTGTATTACTTTGCTTAGTATGTTTGGGCTGCTCTAAGAAAACACCACAAACTGGGTGGCTTATAAACAAAAGAAATTTATTCCTAATGGTTCTGGAGGTTGGGAAGTCCAGGATCAAGATGCTGGCAGATACAGTGTCTGGTGAGGGCCTACTTCCTTGTTCACTGACAGCTGTCTTCATGCTGTGTCTTCACAAGGCAGAAGGGACAAGGGAGCTTTCTTGGGCCACTTTTATAAGAGTACTAATTCCATTCATAAGGGCTCCACCCTTAAGACCTAATCACCTCCAAAAGACTCCACCTTCTAACACCATCAACTTGGGAATTAGGTGGCTATTCAGACCGTAGCAGGCTTCCATAATAGACTGGGTAGCTTAAACAACAGAAGTTTATTTTCTCAAAGTTTTGGAGGCTGGAAAGTTCAAGATCAAGGTGCCTGCAAGGTTGGTTTCTGGTGAGGCCTTTCTCCTGGGCTTACAGTCCACTGTCTTCTCACCGTGTCCTCTCCTGGTCTTGTCATCTGTGCATGTGTGTCCCTAGTCTCTCTTCCTCTTCTTCTAAGTACACCAGTCCTGTTGGACTAGGGCCGCACTCTTATGACCTCACTTAACATTAAGTAACTTTTTAAAAGCGCCATCCCCAAACACAGTCACACTGCGGGTTAGAGCTTCAGCATATGAATTTGGACGGGACATAATTCACTCCATAACAGGACCCAACCTGTGCACAGGGATATCAGCTTGGTGCTTTGTGACCACCTAGAGGGGTGGGATAGGGAGGGTGGGAGGGAGGCTCAAGAGGGAGGGGATATGGGGATATATGTATATGTATAGCTGATTCACTTTGTTATAGAGCAGAAACTAACACAACAATGTAAAGCAATTACACTCCAATAAACATGTTAAAAAAAAAAAAAAAGAAGAGGAGAACTTTAAGCTTGATAAGGAGATGGACAAGTGCTGGGCAAGAGTGTTCCAGGCAGAAGGAACACAAAAGAAGCATCCTGAGATGAGACAGAGTGCTCTAGGATGCATCCGAAATCAACAAGTCTGAAGTCTGGTGATGGAGGGCGAGTCCCACAGAGTGGGGCTGGAGCAACAGACAGGAGCCCCATCCCCCAGAAGGACCTTCTAATATTATTACTCCCACTAAGCCCTTATACATCTGCCTGGCTAACTTATTTTCATGCATTATTTTCCACGTACACTGGGCTCAGTTTCATCAAAATCACCCTCGCCTTAGATTCTGGATTCCAAAGCTTTATTTTATTTTGTTTTATTTGTATCTTATTTTAATCATATGCTTTTCATTCCTCCTACCCCACCCTACCCTAAAATATCCTCAGAAAAGGATGGAGACCTGAGGACTCAAGTGGAAAAGCTCTGGAGAGAAGTCAATGCCCTGAAGGAAATGCAAGCCCTGCAGACAGGTGAGATCCCATCTCATCTCAAACGAGATAGGAAAAGAAACTGTGATTTGTCAGCAGTTCAAACCATATAGAGAGTACATGTTGAGTTGTAAGCGACATTTCTTTAAAAGAGACATTGACAAGCCAGAGACGTGTCCAGGAGAAAGGATCTAAAAGCTGGGGAGATGACTGTTTGGGGAAATTAGCTTGATTTTCCACTCCCTACTCTTGTAAATGGTTGGTAGAGAAATAAAACCAGGCATTTCAATAATACATTTTAAAAGTCCGTCCATAATTCTTCTTTAATGGGCAATGAAAGAAAACTGAAGAAGTATTAACTAGCTAAAATAATCAGCATTATTTAGATGTTTACTAAGTGCCCATTGGGAGATCGCCAAGGTTGAACTAAACACAGGATCAGAGGACTCACTCCCAACAAGTAGGGCAACACATGCAGAGAAGACCAGTGGTTAGAGCCACAGCTTGCCAGCAGAGGGCAGCATCCAGTTTTCCTTTTTCATGGAGTAGCACTCCTGGCAGCCTATGCAGCTGTACCCACTGCTGTCCAGGAGTTACTCTGCTGGCTCCCAGGGCAAGGAAATGAGAGCCACACTAGGTTAGTTCAGGAACATCCCTGGCTTGTAAGGTTCACATCCTCAGGAATGAATACTCTCATAGCAACTCCAAAAGCAGAGCTTTGAGGGTCTCACAAGAGAACTGCCCAATTATAAGACTTACTACCTTCCAGGAAGACTGAAGTTACAGCTTTTCCATCACTCCCAGGCCAGCTGTATGTTATTGATCCTGAGTCATTTTTACCATAAGCAACGTTGCCTAGTAACACTGGTGACAGGGCCCTTTATTAGGTTCCCAGGGGAACAGAATTAGAAAGTTAAAGGACGGCCAAATGCGTTTGCAGAAGGGGAGAGTTTTGTTAACCCTCTAACCACAGTTGGGGACTATAATAATACTTTATAAACATTAACACATTAATCCTCCAACAATTTATGAGATGATGCTGCTATGATTATCCTCATTTTACAGATGAGAAAACTGAGGCACAGAGAAATTAAATAATTTTTCCAAAGCTTACACAGCTAGTAAATGTCAGAACTGACACCTAAGTCCAGGCACTACAGCCCTGGAGCCTGACTCTCCAACGTTATGCCTTGAAACTATCTTTCTATTTGTTTTATCCTGGGTAAGATAAACAATATTACCAGGGCTCAGTTATCTGCAAAAGAAAAGCCCTATCTCTCCACATGCAAACTCAGACTTTTGTTTTTGTTTGTTTTTTAATAATTGTGGCACACCAACCAGTTCCAAAAGTTCCAAGGAAATTCAGCACATAATGGAGCTACACAAACTAGCGAACATGTATATATCCAAGCAGCAGGAGGCTAAGGGCCAGGGTTTAAGGGTGAGGCAGACCTGGGTTTCCATAGTTGTGATCTTATGTGACGGGTATGTCACCTTTTTATAGGCTAAGTTGTTAATCAGTAACAACTTCTTTAAGCTTCACTATCCTGATATGTAAGGATGGGCATAATAAAAACTCACTTCATGGGATGGTTGTGATTATGACATGAGTTCATTTATGTAAAGTACTTGGCACAGTGTCTGACTCATACAAAGTTTTCAGTACATGCTAACTCACCATTGTCACTGCACGTCATTCATTCCACAACTATTTATTGCTATTGGCCAGATCTAGTCCTGATTATACTATAACAGCATCTTAATATGTCAAATTTCACATCTTTACAGTCTGTCTCCGAGGCACAAAATTTCACAAGAAGTGCTACCTTGCTTTGGAAGGCTTGAAGCACTTCCATGAAGCCAACGAAGACTGCATTTCCAAGGGAGGGACGCTGGTTGTCCCCAGAAGCTCTGATGAAATCAATGCCATCCGAGACTATGGTAAAAGGAGCCTGCCGGGAGTCAATGACTTTTGGCTGGGCATCAACGACATGGTCACAGAAGGCAAGTTTGTAGATATCAATGGGGTCGCCATCTCCTTCCTCAACTGGGACCATGCACAGCCTAATGGTGGCAAGCGGGAAAACTGTGTCCTCTTCTCACAGTCAGCTCAGGGCAAATGGAGTGACGAGGTCTGTCGTAGCAGCAAGAGGTACATATGTGAGTTCACCATCCCCTAATAGACCCTTCTTGAATGTGTCTTCCAAGCAAGAACGGTCATGATTTATAGGCTGATGGATCCTGAGAATAAGTCAAAATTGTCCTCCCTCATGGGACTCTATGTCCACAGGAATATAAGAGTCAGCCAGTTTTGCTACCACACTGTATTGTGATTTTGCCCTCCCTGGGGTATGGGGGAGCAGAAAATAATGATCTAGCCATGTACACACTGTTAAAGGGGCTTCTGCAAAATGGGATATCAGACCTTTCTCACTCCTGGTCCCTCTTACTTATATCGACCAGGTTAGTGTTAAAAATACAATAGCCAGGGCCTCCCTGGTGGCGCAGTGGTTGAGAGTCCGCCTGCCGATGCAGGGGATACGGGTTCTTGCCACGGTCTGGGAAGATCCCACGTGCCGCGGAGCTTGCGCGTCCGGCAACGGGAGAGGCCACGACAGTGAGAGGCCCACGTATCACAAAAAAAAAAAATACAATAGCCAGAAAAGCAAGCTTAGAATACCTGGAAGATTTTCTCTTAAAAGTTTAGTATATATTTGATTGATGAGGTGCTACATAATCCAAAAACTTTTCAGTCTGATGTTCAATCTGTTCCATCCTAATGGTAGTATCTTATTAGTCCATCACACTTTCTTTGAGTTGCAGCATCCCCTGGTGGGACTATTATCTTCTCTGTCACATCAAAACATGAACATCTCAGAGAGGTTCTGATTTAATTCCATTTTCTTCAAACCCATCCTACTCCCCCCAGCCCTCCAGCCATATACACATCTTTTTTTTTTTTTTTGGAAGTTCCAAGTAAAGATCTGGAAGGAAATATTAAGGCAGTATCGGTAACCCTAAGACAGAAGAGAGTAGCAGACTGTATAGAAAAAGAAAATTTTTAAAAGTCTACTTTTTCCCTGCATTAACATCTTTACCTGACTTTATGAAATCAAGGGTGGATATGACATGTTAGTTTCCTTTTTTTTAACATATTTTACATACTTATATATATTTAACAATCATATATTTAAGTCTATTATGAGCAATCTATATTTGGAGGTTGAAAGCTGGATTTAAATAATATTATTTTGGAGTCACATGTCTATGTTATTTTTTATTATTCTGCTATTCCCACTAAATTGTTTTACTAGATTGTGTAAAGTAACGTCATTGCTTAATATGAAATTACGAAGTTAAGATTGGGGGAAATGGGCTTCTTAGAAGCAAACAATTCTAAGTATATTCTGTTTTTCAAATAAATGTCTTTTTTTTTCTTTAAATGCTGATTGTGTTTTGGGAGCAAAATCCTTCTCTACAAACTTGAATTATGTATGTATGCTTGGAAATAAGTGTTAGTTCTTTACAGTGCACAATAATAAAGCCTGAATTCTGATCAATGTGGATGTATGTGGGTATTGATTACAGTTATTTAAACTATGTTGGTTTATATCAGACTTGACAAAATTCAGGAGGAAATACCCTGGATTTAATCAAACCGGTGATTTAGATGTACTACAAGGATAGTTTTACTTGACAATAAAGAAGTAAAGTCCATGAAATTCCCTGGTGGTCCAGTGGTTAGGATTCAGCGCCTTCACTGCTGGAGCCTGGGTTCCATCCCTGGTCAGGGAACTAAGATCCCAGAAGCGGCACAGCACAGCCAAAAAAAAAAAGTCCAGGGGGAGGAGGAGACTTAAAAACAAAATTTGTATCTGCAATTGGTTTTGGTTGACGTTGGCCAACTTCCTATGCCAACAGAACCACAGTCTCCTTAAAGATAATGACAATAATGAGATTCATAGATAGTATGAGTAGCATATTCCAGACACTGTGCTCAATTTTACATAATTCTCTTTTATCTTTGGAACAATCTAGGGATTTAGGCTCTAGAATTATTTCATTTCACAGAAGAATAAACTGAAGAAGAGAGGTGTGGTAATTTGCCCTAAATCACCCCCAGGATTAGTGAAGTTGTGACAAGAAGCCAACAAGTTGACTCAGATTCTACATCCTTAGCAACTCAGAAGGAGCTGTGACAAGGTCAAGTCTGTTCAAACAGGCAGTGGAAGTGGACTCTAATCCATCTCCCTGTTCCCTCACGTCGGGTAACAGTTTGGGCCAACACCTGACCTTGATGGGGCATTCACTCTGAATCTGCTTCAAAAGGGTTAAATAAAGACAACTCCGGTTCACACAAGTCAATGTCAGAGTTTGGGTACCTAGGAGATGGTGATGGATAAGGTCATGTTCCTCCAAATGCCCCAACCAGAAAGCTCAAGAGAAGCTTAATTCAAAGGAACAGAGGAAGGTTAGTTAGTGAGGGCAAATCAAGATGAGTTACCAAGACAAGGGGCAGATGGATGGGAGACAGAGCAAGATTGGAAGGAGTAGATTAAGAGATTATCTGGTTTGCCTAGGGTCAGACTCATGACCTTGACTTTATTACTTAGCCAACATATCAACCAGAAGCCACACCCACTCCTTGGAAGCTGCCTGGACTATAGCATAGCGAATTCTGAAACTTGGTAGAAAGAATGCCATGAGCAATTAGCAATGTCTCACAAGTTCATGATAGGAGGACACCAACATTGATACTACATAATTGTCATCCCTAGTATAAACCCTTGGCTTCCTGCAGTTATATTTAAAGTAGTCAAGTCCCTATAAGATTTACCAGAAAGCTGATTCAAATCTCTAAAGAAGTGTTTCTCAAGCGTTCTTGTGCTTAAAAATCACATGGGAACCTTATCAACTTGCAGACCCCATAGATCTGGACTGAGGCCCCAGATTCTTCATTTCCTTTTTTTGTTTGTTTCAATATATATTATTGATTTATTTATTTATTTATTTATGGCTGCGTTGGGTCTTCGTTGCTGTGCGTGGGCTTTCTCTAGTTACAGCGAGCGGGGGCTACTCTTTGTTGCGGTGTGTGGGCTTCAGTAGCTATGGCTCGTCACCAAGGAAGCCCCCCAGATTCTTCATTTCTAAAAGCATCTAGTGCAAGCCAACAGGGCTGGACCACACGCCACAGTCTGAGAGCAAGTGTCTGAAACTGTAGCTACTTGCCCAGAGACAGTCTCTGCCGATTCCAGAAGTTTTGTTTCCCTTTAATTCAAGTCAAGGGTAGGATCTACAATTCATCTGTGTGAAGAACAATACTAAGAGCAATTTCTCTACCCATCACAGATGCTTCCATCCATATTGTTAAATGAGGTACAAAGTAAAAATCAATTAGTTAAAGGAAATAATAGTTGAGATTCAAATTAGAGATTCGAAGGAGAACATATCTCAAGGTTCAATGGGTCCTTTCTCTTCTCTAACAATGCTGAATAACATTTCTGAAATTAAAATTAAGATAGAAAGTTTTTCCTGTTCTTACATTAGTGAGAACTTCCATAATCGTCACCAAATAAAGCACATCTAACGAATGAAGAAGCCCACCAATTTTAGCTACTTAAGTAACTAATTTAATCTGTTGTAAGAGATTCAAAGGGCGCCTACTAACTATAAAGCATTGCGCTAGGTAATATGGAAGGACAGAAAGGAAGTAAGTTATGGTGTCTGCGCTCCAGGATATTACAACCTAGTCCACAGGAGGAGAGCAAGACTCTCCACTGGAGTCTGAGAAGAAAATACTAGTAGCTCTAATTACATACGAAAGTTGTGAATTTACAGATTATTACTGTCCAGTTTAACCGAAACCGAAAGCCACAAAATGGGCACGGATTTAAATAAATTCCTGGAAATAAACACCAAATTGAATATACACTAAGAAAAAAAAAATTGTGCACACACTCAAACAAGCGTAGCTGACACTTCTAGTAGGGAGACATACAGAGCCCAGGCAAACCCAATCAGAATCTTTTCCAGTGGTTGCCAATGGACACTGGGAGTAATGAAACTTTTATTTATTTATTTTTTTGCTGAGACACTAAATTGGGACAAAGTGAATTTAGGGCTCTGATAGAATACTTCCCTTCCAGTTGGATGCAATATGCAGAATGAATTATAACAAATATAAGCAGTGATGAGCAATGATAGGGAAAAGGGGGAGAGGGAGAGAGAGAAAAAGAGAAAGGGAGGAAATATGTGTGAGTGTGTGTTTTCACATAATGCTGAGTTTATCATTCTTAAGGCCCTGGTTTTTATTTCTGTAAATTCTATGAGAATTTGAGCTAGTTGGAGTTTGTATTGGCCAGGATAGCCTAGGTTATGACCTCACAGAGATTGTATCTAGATAGGCAAACATACAATAAACAAAGAAAAAACAAAATCATTTCAGAAAATATGACAAAATGTCAAAAGACTGACATGACAAAATGGCATAACAAATGACACAATTAAAATGACAAAAGAAGAAAATAAAACAAGGAGATGAAAGATGGAGTGACTAGAGAGAGTGATGCCAGACAGGGTGAACAACTCTTTCAATACAGTGAAAGAGACAATGGAAAAGAAAGTGACCTAGGAATCATCAGGGCAAAAGTCCAAGAGAGACCCTGAGAGAAATGACTTACCCCAAATCTCCCAACAAGCTGGGGACAGGGCAGGGACTGGAATTCAATTTCCTGTCTCCCAATGCAGAGGCTGTATCTTGCCAGCCCAATTCAAGGTCATTTAAGGTCAAGGGACTTGGAGTCAGAAGACCTAGACTCCACACATGCTACATGTGTGATTTTAGGCAAGAATAAATTTTGGGGCCCCCACTTCCTCATCTATCAGTAGAAATGACAGATCATCCACAGAACTGTGAGTTGAAATTTGAAAATACAATTTCTGAGCAAGCAAACACTCTGGATATGACATCTTTAAAAAAGAAGTGTTTTGTTCCGTAAAATAACCAAAACATCTCACAATAGAAAAATTTGCAGAGTAAGAAAAAACATTTAGAAATTATCCTGCATCTTGGTCTTTTTCACTCATTTGTCCAGTTAATATTTATTAAGCACATGTATCCAGCAGCATCTAATTTTACCACCACCCATGCAAAGTTGTAGAGGTTATTACATCATTAGGC